CTCTCCATGTAGCATCAATTATGCTAATGGTAGCTGCCTGTCACGTTCTCTCGTTCTGGCCACACCTCCGCTCTCTAACCCCCCTTCCCCACCCACACCCCCTCCCCTACCCACTTTGATGCATTTTTCAAATTTCGCCTTGGGGCGGAGTTATCTTTTCACAGGGGGGTAAGTTACACTTTAAGCACTTCACCATTTTGTTCCTGATGCAAAGTAGTTAACGTGTGTAGTCTTCTTGTGGGTGAATTGCATAAATACATATCCACGTATTGTGATATGAATGTTTTTTTAATTGATTCTGACTCAACGACGTCTATGCCATTCAGTCTCTTATTGAATAATTGTATTAAAACAGAAGTAGGTAATTGCCATCACTCCTGGTTTTTGAATTTGATGAAATTGGTACTGAAAAGTCCTTGAAAGGTCCTTGAATTTGATGTTAACCAAGGCGTGGGAACCCTTGAATGTCAAACTTTTACTAAGTACTGAGTATACTGAGTACTGAGTATTTCTATCAGTGCAGTAAGTGACGTCACCAGGATTTTACTTTAACTCTTTCCTGCCTGTTTCCCTGCAGAGTGAAGCAGCTGACCGATGAGGAGGAGTGCTGCATCTGTATGGATGGAAAGGCCGACCTCATCCTGCCCTGCGCACACAGCTTCTGTCAGAAATGCATTGATAAATGGTGGAGTGATACAAAAAGTTTCATTCTGCGTAATTCAGTGGAAAGTTGTTTCTTTCACACTAACCATTCCAAATGTGTTTCCTGTTTGTGCAGGAGTGGACAGAGTCGAAACTGTCCAATATGCCGTCTGCAAGTGACCGCTGCCAACGAGTCGTGGGTGATGTCCGATTTTCCCACAGAGAACGACATCGCCAATTACATCCTCAACTTGGCTGACGAGGCGGGCTGCCCACACAGGCCTTAACGTGCGCAGCAGCCAGCCAAGTCCATAGTAAGAGATCTGACCGATTTACATGCTGAAATTCAAAAAGTTTATTTCACTGACAAAACTTTCTCTTTTTTCTTTATGAGAAGCTAAATGCAGAAGAAAACCACAGGGTTTCATTGTATATTTGAATGGCAGACACTGACATTAATGCTTTATTTGCTTTTAGCGCCTAAAAAAAATCCCGAAATGCTGTTTGCAGCTCAAGTGTTATAAATGTGGTCTGTGCTATGTTGTCTAAAGTAACCTTTTGTATATGTTTGCTCTAAATAAGTCTATATATTTATGTAATTTACACCAGAAAAATGAAGAACAGACCAAAAGAATGAAAACTGAGGAGACCTGGTTTATTGTAGCACTTTATGAAACAAATCTTCTTAAAAAACATTGATCTCTTCATTGATGAAAGAGGTTAAGTGAGCTGTGAGTCCTACATTTAGAGGTTTGATAAATATGACTTATTATTGTAAATGTTGCATTATTCATGAGACTGTTTGGGGAACGTGTTTGCTTTCGGGAGTTCCAGAGTTGGACTCTTATCTCCGAGTCAGCCAACTGGATAAACTATTCATGAAGATAAATACTTTCATTTGTTTTTCCTTTAGCTCAGCAGCACCTCCGAAAACTCCTTCATTAGCTTAATCTAACTATTTTAAATATCCTCCCTTTACTGGGACTAGATACAAAACAATATAACGGCTGGTTTCATTGCAGCATTAGGACAATAAACAGGTCTGAAACATTATCCTAATGGAAGTACTGACACTAATGGAAAAATTTCAGAAGCAAATTAGCATATTTTTCACACTTTTGCCTGAAGTGCAAATTCAAGACACCAAACACATTCCTATTATCTGCTAATGTTTCAGTGTTTTCTCATATAGAGCTGTTCAGAAGTCTTTGCACAATAATCCTTCATGTTAAGGCTCATTGTGACATGCCATAGGAGTGCTTTATGTCATAAACTGGCCTTTAATGCAGCTCCGAGTTTTCTTTGAGTGCTCAGGACATGTTGGTTCTGCATTGTTGACCTGGCTTTGCTGTGGTTTCTTCACTGTTTGAAATCACCTTTATTTCTCTTGTTTTTTTACTTAATTATGTTTAAATGAATTGAATCAGACTTCTGTGGAAATGCTGAACAGAAAACTTTTGGTTTTACTTATCATGCCTGTATGTATAATATAATAAATACCATGTTTAGTGTAAAAGGCAGCACTTCAGTTTAACCTGACTTTTGGTTGGATAGTTATTAAACTAAGTGTTTTTTTATGAGTGTTTCTATTCAGTTTGGTTCAGACCCATTAGCTTATTTATTTGTGATGATTCTGGAGGAGCGTCTCAAAACTCAAGTATTTAAAAAAAGTAAACTTTTTAATATTTAGTCATATTTTATTCCACTGGATTTTAAGTTTTTTTTTAAATATATATTGTAATGTTGTGACATTTATCACAATGGCTCTTGTTAAACGGTGCAAACGAGGATTGTAATAAATAATTTGCGTTAAAATCTTTTTTGGTTGCCAGTGTTAAAACTTGCACAGATTTCTGAGTTAAACTACATAAAAATAACTAACACTGTAATTCTTTCATGATGGAGCAGTGAAACATATATTTGCTCAGGTTGGACAGAGATCTGAGTCTGATGTACAGTTGCATGGTTTCTTCAAAATCATTAGTGGGAAAATATTAAGAGCAGGGAAATGTGTGAAGCACCTAAACTCACATTACTGTACTGTATGTAGTTGTTTTCATATAAACTGAACACATGTACTGTATAATCTGATGTTGCAGCCTCAATGTGGTAGCATTAATCTATAACTACACTGAATCCCCATCTGTACTGAAGGAATTTAACTGGTGAGGCTAAACTGAAGTGGGTATAATGAACTGAAAGATTTGTCTATATTAAAGATGTAGATTTTACACTTTACTACTGTGTAATGATGGGTCGAACGTTTTACACAACTCTGCTTCGTTTATACTTTGTTGTTAGTGTCTGTTTATATTATACACCAATTAAAGGCTGTTTTTTATCCTATGTCATCAGAAAATTTATGCAATAAAAATTAAAAAGCTGCTACTTGTCTGTCGTATTTAAAAACTAATGAACTCTGTTTTAACACATTAAGTAATGTATTTACTTCACTGCTCATGGCATGTATAGGTTTTTTAACCAAAGCTTTTTTTACACCATGGGTGTTCAACCCAGTTGACGGGCTCTAAACAACAACAACAAAAAAAACTTGGTCCTGATTGAGGGCCAAGCTTGGAAACACACTGACAAATGTTTTGAGTTTTGTAAGAGAAGAGATATCCTGACCTGTTTCAGTTGAACCCATCTGAATCAAGGTTAATATTTATCTAAGAAACCTGATGAATCCAACCAGCTACTTAAATTCCAAGCATGTCTTAAAGTCATAAAAACCTGGATGACTCTTTTGGACTTGAACATCTTAAGACTAAACTTTCCAGCCTTTCACCTTCTCTGGATGGCATTAATCTGGCCTCCAGTTCTGATGTAAAGAAACTTGGTGTTATTTTTGATCAGGACATGACTTTTAACCCCCACATTAAAAATGTTACCAGGACCGCCGCCTTCCACCTGCGTAATATCACTAAAATTAGAAACATTTTGTCCAAAAATGATGCAGAAAAACTGATTCATGTATTTGTCACGTCTCAGCTGGATTACTGTAATTCTTTATTATCTGGGCTCCAAAAAACTCAAAGAAGTCTTCAGTTAATCTAAAATGCTGCTGCTAGAGTTTTAATGAGAGTTGGAAGGAGAGATCATATTTCTCCAGTTTTAGCTTCTCTCCACTGGTTCCCTGTTAAATTCAGAATATATTTTAAAATATTACTCCTAACATACAAAGCTCTTAACAACCAAGCTCCATCATATATTAAACATCTTATTGTTCCATACTTTCCTAACAGAGCGCTTCACTCTCAGACTGCAGGTTTACTTGTGGTTCCTCAAGTTTCTAAAAATAGAATGGGAGGCAGAGCTTTCAGTTATCAAGCTCCTCTCTTGTGGAACCAACTTCCAGTTTCTGTCMATGAGGCTGACACTCTGTCTACTTTTAAGATTAGACTGAAGACTTTCCTTTTTGATAAATCCTATAGTTAGACTTAGGTTTCCTGATTTATTCCTTTGTTCTGCTGCTATAGACTTAGACTGCTGGAGCACAAACTGAGCACATTTCCTCACTCTGCTGTTGTCTTTAGTCACTCTCCTCTACATGTTTGCTGTAATTACTTCTATCAATAATGTGCTTTCTTTGTCTCTCTTCCAGAGGAAAGTGCACCTGGACCAGTCTTCCTATGTTTATCTGTGTGTATACCCTCCAAACCTGGGTCATTTTTTCCCTGTTATATATTGTTTATCAGTGGTTAGACCTGTGGGATCAATATGCAGAGAATCTGTCTGCTATGAACCCTGAAGAGATTCACTTGACTTCACTAAACTGTTTGCCAAGATCACCATGGCAAAACACTGCTGTCTGTCTGAGAACTCAATGGATTCTGTTAGCAACAAAATGGCTGAATGTTTGTCAGATCTGTCTCATCTCAACAGAAATATCCAAATGAACACCTTGAGCCATTTCAGATACTCTGCTGACAGCCACATGTCTGAAGACAATTTAAAGTTTTCAAAGAAACATTGTGAAGTCGTTCATGTCCAGAAAACCACCAGTGAAGTCTTGCAAATGATGAAAGGCTTTCAGAGCCAAAAGAGCCAATTTTCCCAAGGCTTTACAATCGTTCAACTGTCTTCAGATGCTGAGAGAAACACGTGTGATTTGATCTATTCAGCAAGCCATGAGAGAACATAACCCCAAATCAGCCCGCAAAACAGCCTCCAAAAAAAGCCCCTAAGAGGATCTCTGCAGAAATCATGTATCTCCCTGTATCAAATGTACCTAAACCTCAGAATGTTGGAATAAATCTGAATTTCTCCAGGGTCTGCTTTGCCTCTCGCAGCCCAAAAGAAGTTAAAATGAATGGATGGGTGGAAGGCGGTATAGAGGCAAAAAGGACAAATATATTCAAACAGAGCTGAGTACTCCTCTGTGCAAGAAGGGTGTTTGCTTCAGTTTCGTCCCACAGTCAAAAAAAAACTAAATACAAATTTATGTATGTGTGTGAATGATAGCACCAAATGTCCCGTATAATCGCACAGAGCAATAAGGTTTAGCAGACACATCTTACAATACAAATAAAGCCCTTTGTTCAGAACCAAATCAAAAAATATATAAATTTTAAATTAATCAAATCAATCAATCACCTCAATGTGGTGGAAGGGTTTGAGTGACCCCCATGCTTGGGGCTGTGTTGTCCAGGGGATCATCCCCCATTAGGTTTCACCTGGTACATTGGCCTCAGTTAAGGGGTCGGACTAAGAGCGATTCATGAATCGGGACCAACAGGTGGCCAATGTGAGCCTTTAAACACCATGAGATCTGAAACAGGTGTTCTATAATCGGACACTGAGTGTGTTTAAAAGTGGAGAACAAACTGGCTGTGAAAGTTTTTCTGTACAGAACGACACTCTAAATTACATAAATACGTTTGAACAATAAATACAATTAAATGTGCTTACATTTTATGTGAGAAATTTCAAAGATGAGATACAGTTTATTTAATTTATACACACTATAACATCCACTTTATAAGTTTTTATCTAAGCTTTGTAGGAAGGTTTTTCTCTCTGTTGTGGTAATGTTTTCAATACCACCGTTAGATGGCGCCATTTCTTCTGTTTGGTTTCTGTGAACTAAAAAATAAGGAATATAGTCATCTTGCAGATTCCGATGCCGTTTCAGTGCAACCAATCCTTAAATCTGCATCCTGAATCCTGAACAAGAAATACATCAGATCCAGTCAAAGGAAACACACTGCTGAGTTGTCCACATGCTGTCCAGGACCAGGAATGAAGGAGAAAGTCTTAAAGCTGATGAAGAACACACAGTAATTACAGTTGGCTAAAGGGCAGCTTTGGCCAAGGTGGTTAATTTTCATGGGTTTCAGGGTAGTGGGGATGAAGGAAGGGGTCGAGGGGTAGTGGGATGAAGGAAGGGGTCCAAGGGTAGCGGGGATGAAGGAAGGGGTCGAGGGGTAGTGGGATGAAGGAAGGGGTCCAAGGGTAGCGGGGATGAAGGAAGGGGTAGAGGGGTAGTGGGGATGAGGGAAGGGATCGAGGGGTAGTGGGGAGGAAGGAAGGGGTCGAGGGGTAGTCGGGATGAAGGAAGGGGTCGAGGGGTAGTGGGATGAAGGAAGGGGTCGAAGGGTAGTGGGGGTGAAGGAAGGAGTCGAGTGGTAGTGGAGATGAAGGAAGGGGTAGAGGGGTAGTGGGGATGAAGGGAGGGGTAGTGGGGATGAAGGAAGGGGTCGAGGGGTAGTGGGGATGAAGGAAGGGGTCGAGGGGTAGCGGGGATGAAGGAAGGGGTCGAAGGGTAGTGGGGATGAAGGAAGGGGTCGAGGGGTAGTGGGATGAAGGAAGGGGTCGAAGGGTAGTGGGGGTGCAGGAAGGAGTCGAGTGGTAGTGGAGATGAAGGAAGGGATCAAGGGGTAGTGGGGAGGAAGGAAGGGGTCGAGGTGTAGTGGAGATGAAGGAAGGGGTCGAGGGGTAGCGGGGATGAAGGAAGGGGTTGAGGGGTAGTGGGGATGAAGGAAGGGGTCGAAGGGTAATGGGGATGAAGGAAGGGGTTGAGGGGTAGTGGGGATGAGGGAAGGGATCAAGGGGTGGTGGGGAGGAAGGAAGGGGTCGAGGGGTAGTGGGGATGAAGGAAGGGGTCGAGGGGTAGTGGAGATGAAGGAAGGGGTCGAGGGGTAGTGGGGATGAAGGAAGGGGTCGAGGGGTAGCGGGGATGAA